CTGAATTTCTTCCCGAGATTCTCAGAAAAATATCTCAAGCAATTCCCTCCAAAGCTGTACTGAATCTACTAATGAGACTCTCGTGATCATGCTTAAAAGTTCACACCTTATATAAGCTTCTATGAACAGTGATTTTATGTGGGCCAGGCCAGATCCCCTAAAGAGCCAGAGGATAAACCAGAAGACTATCGCCCAGAACACAAAGAAATTCAGCTTTGAAGACTGAAGCCTTCTCCAATCCAAACTGCTAGGAAAACCTTGGTGTTAGCAGCATTTTTACAGTCAAATTAACCTGCAGCTGTCAAGAAAAAGAAAAGTGCTGAGCTGCTGTTCACTTTAATGGGTTGAAGTCAAACGTGGAAGATAACTTGGGGTTATTATTTGTTTCGAGTACATTAACATATTCATCAGGAGGGATGCTCTTTCTCAGGCTGTCCCACTTGGCAATGGTTAAAAAAAAAAAACGACCATTCTGAATCTCCCAAAACCAGCCCACAGACCAAGTGAATGCATCAGTCTCAGCCATTCTGTGCTCAGTTAGTTACAGTCTTTTCCCCATTTCTTTTGAGAACTGCAAAAACAAAGCATATTTAAGCTAAAGAAGTCAAGAGGGATCAACTTATCTTCACCAAATCTTACAAAGTGTCAACAAGTCAGGGAGTGACCTCAACCTGGTGTTATCTGAAGGGCTCAACACTCTGTAAGCTCTCTGGTCAGTTAGTGAGCTTAAGTAACATTTCAAAAGTTGTAGTCACATCATACACTACTACCTCATGCCAAAGGTCTACTATGTCTCTGGATTAATAAGGCAGTAAAATGAACGCAGTATTTGAGATTAGAGGCAACTTGTGGAAGAAATTGATGAAATCTGGCTAGCTGTTATCAGCACTGTAGGTGCTGGAAATCAGAGTTTTCCTGTCCAGGAAGCTCAAAACATTTGTAACTAGTGCAATTCACAATGAGTTCTCAGTTAACACCTTGACTGGGCTCTTCCCCAAAGTGAAGAACACATTCTCACTTTGGTATGCTACCTCTGCTGAAAAACATTGTTCTGGCCTCAGCTGCTCCCTTGCTGCCCTCATCTCAAGACAACCTTGGTAGGAGAAGCAGTTTGTGCATGTACGATCAATCATAATAAAGATAGAGAACAGAATGAGCCAAGACAGTAAAATTAGCTCTACTGTCCCAGTAAATAAACCCAGTTACTAAAAACGTTGCAAGAAAATAATTTCCACACCGACCAGAGCTTGCTACCAGGTTGCCAAGCAAGCCCTGACTCCTGCCCAAGATTCTTCTATGACAGAATTTAGAAAAGATACTTGGATGTTCAAGGAGTAAGCAGTCCCATCAGTATGTAAAGATATTCCCAAGAAGGTATGAGGAGCATTTTTCCCTGTAGCAGATCCCTGTAGAAATACACTTACATGTTTTGAACACACTTCTTGTCCATCTCCATTCCTTCTTGTTTTGTTTTGGGTTTTTGTTTTTTTTTTTTCTTTATGTAAGTCTGCAGAAATTCTGTATTTAATATCGTCCTTTCACCAGGCAAATATATTCACACCACAAAGAACAGAAAAGTCTGCTAGTTATGCAGAGAGCCATGTCTGTAAGAGAAGACAAAGTTCCTGTCCACAAGTTACACTGCAGTCCCAGCAAAGCACAGGTGAAGTCCAGAGGCATCTAATTTTTCAGACAACAGAAGGGCAGTTCAAGACACCACCAGGAAGAAACAGAAGAATCGTCTCAGGAGCAAAGCTCTTTTTCACAGTGCTGCCAGAGAAGTGATTTAATGCAGAATCAATGCCAGATATGGAAGACAACTTAACAGGAAGCTCCCTTAGGGAAAGGGAAGACATCAGACACCAGCAGCTGAGCAGAGAAAGCATGCCAGAGGGATGAAAATGGACATTTTTAAAGAGCAGCTTCTGGTAGGACAGCAGTTCGTGATGGGAAAGCCCTGAAAAGGGAAACGGTAGTGCACATGGTGAAAGAGTAACCTACCCAGGAGTACTGTGATGACGAATCTGACAGCAGGAAAGAAAAAAGTGTTAACCCCTAATCTCTGCATACCAATAGCTTGCATCCCAGCATGAACATAAAGGATTTTAAACTGTTACATTTTGAAAAAACAAGCCTTGAAATCTCACTGCAAGATTCATTTACTCTGCAACCTCAGGAAAATCTCTCTATAAGCAGACTTTTACAGTCGTAGAGAAAAAAGTTTAAAAACTAGTCAGGTTAAACAGTGTAAATGTAAGACTTCTCACTCCAAGAGAAAGAAAAGTACTGATATCTGAAATTAAACATTGCTCCATGACCAAATACACAGACAAACATTGCCTCAAAATGTATGTACACACTTCAAAGACCACAGAAGTACCTCTTTTAACCTGCAATAGGAACTCCAGTATCGTAATAGTAGCAAATTAATTACAATGCTGCTACATTAAAAAAAAACACAAAAAAAAAAAACAAACAAACCACCAAACAGAAAATAGACTGCAAGTAAATCCTTAAAGAAAAACAAAAACAAACCCTTTTTTTGTCATGTAGTTCTAAGGCATTGCCCCAAACCTGCTTTGAGGAATCAGATGCACATGAGACTGAAGCAAAACCCCACTGGCAGCCAGCACTACCTGGTCCTGCTTACCCCACAGATACAAAGGAAAAATCTTCCTGCATGTTATAACGAAAAACCCTCCCTGAAACAGCACAGTCCAACCTCCCGAAGAGTCTCAACTGACATCAGCGTCACCTGATGGAGACACGGTTTAGTTCTGCTGACAAGCTCCCACTCCCTTGTTCCACCCCCTACATCATCTCAGTTTTCAGAGATTCCCAGAACTGCTGCTTTGCGGTATGCTGAATAGCACAAACTGAGAATATAAAAAGGCCACATAAGACTTCAGAAGCTCTGCAGATGCAATCGCGCATTTCACCAAGCATGACCGTGACCAGGCAGAACAGCTTGTGCACCTCCTCCAGACACAACCAAGAACAACTTTTTCTATTTATACCTCTTCTACAAACAAGGAGGAGATTGTGCAAGGGCAGGTTTACACAAGCCACATGACTGGTGTGCTACCGAAGCACCGCTTTGTTGTGTGATGGTTGTAAGGTGCCTCTAACCCACAGCACTCCCTGTTACTCCTCTAAGAAAACAGGAAACAGGGACACATTTTGTAGATACAAATTAGACAAACTTTATCTATAGTAGTGGGCTATGCCAGCCTAACTTTTTTGTTAGAAACCACATTCCCAAAAAGACCAAGCCTGCAAACTATAGAACACAGTTCAGTGTTCCATTATCTGGGGTTTTTTTCACATTCACCAGAAAATTCAAGTCAGACTAACTCAGTCTTTAATTTTCCTGTCCCCAGATGTTCTGACCAGTGTTTGCTAGAGGAATTGTACATTAGTTTGAAATCTTGGAAGAAAGTAAGATTAAGTCTACTATTTTAGAGGGGTGACATACTAACATCCTTAAACTTTTTACTTTCCATTCCCAGTGTAACTTTTATTTTATCAAGAGGAAAAAAAAAACACCACCTCAGCTCAAGAGAAACTGATTTCTGTTTTAGCTGCACACCCAGCCTTCCTCCTTTCCTGGTCTCAAAGCACTTATCAGTAGTCCAGAGATCCTGTACACCCTGCTGTAATTTCTTCGAGTCTCCCTTAAAGGGAAGATGCACAGGAGCACTGTAAGTAGGTCAACCAAAAAACCTCATGGACTACCAGCCATGCTGTAAGCCTGCCAAGTAGCTCCATTAGAATACGCCAAGGGTGGTTAGGTTTTAATACAGCTAATTAGTTAGCTTAGTAGACAAAAATGCTGTTTCAGTTTGTCACAGCAAAATCTTCAGAAAAATCTGCATGCTATTGTAGGTGAGTCAATATTCATAACAGAACCTTGGTGAAAAAAAGAGAGATGTTTATTTGTGTTAAAACAGTGACTTCCTAAAGAAAAACAGGCCTAACAAGTCTTCTGCTATGCTCAGCTGCATGCACATGCCCTTAACAGGTAGGCCAAGCTAACTCTCATTGCTGAACTGGTTTCTCATTACAATTTCCCTAAATACACTAATGGGAAACCTGGTGGAATCTTCAAGGTAAGTCCTTTTCACCTTTAAAGCACAAGAAACTACAATGATTTTAGTGGAAACAGTCCCAATAGAAATTATAATTGATTGCAGTTAGTTTAGTGCACAGAAGTCATATTATTAAAGCAAATAAATATGCAGAGTAAAAGCTGATATTTGCTTGCTTCCACAGCCTGAGAGGTCTGAGATTCTCCATTAAATTGAGGACATATCAGTATATTAAAACTCCACTTAAGTACAAGACTAGCGTACAAGCATGCAAGATCTCAGATGTGTATTTTACTGTAGGCTGCCAGCTGGTTATTCCTATGGCTTTAAAACAGCTAGTCAGGCTTTTTTTTCTTGTTGACTTGTCAAATGTTGCAGATTAAACTCACAAGCAAATAAGCTCTAGGTTTAAAATTGTCTTATTTAAAGGAAAATTCTCTGAAAAATCTGGTGCATCACTGTACTAGACCTCCAACTCTGGGGTTTCTAGCCATTCCATACCACAATCTGAAGGCGTACTGACCCTCCAGTCAATGACCCATTTCTGTAGCTCTGTCTAGCTTCTGCAAAGCACAAAATGCAAGCATTACCTTTTCTAACCTCTAGTCCTAACGCTAAAGGCAGAATATCAGTTACTCCCACCAACACTTCCATCTCAGCAACGACAGATAACAAGGGAGCAAGCAGCAACATTAGTGGAATTTTCCATGTGGAGCAGGAGACCCTAATGAAATGAGGCTGCTAAAAACCCACAACAGAAAAGCTACCTCTTGCCATCTAAAAGAGAATTAACACCCATCTACCCCTGGAGTGCCAAAGATAGAGATGCTGGCAGAAAAATCAATTGTCCTTATTTGGCTCTATGTGGTGATAGAGTTGTCCGATTAGTGTCAGATATGGATACAAACTGACCCGATGCTACCACGGTGCCATCAAGAAGTCATTTCCTACCAACAGTCCCTCACGGGACTTCTCACTGCGTTTACCTGACCGCTGTCCTTGGGTGATTCCCCCCCTACCCCAAACACAGCTTTTCCAACACTGCCACCCCGAAGGCGCCCTTGAAACTCTCCCTCGCTCCCCCCGCGGGACCGTTAGGCCCCACACCGGGCTGCGCCAGCGCCGGGGCCCCGGCAGGAGGATCCTCCCCGCCCGCCACCCTCCCTTCTCGCTGCCTCCGCTCCCTGCGCTTTCGGCAGCCGGGCCCGGCAGCTCCTGCTGGGAGAAGAGAAGAGAAACAGCTTTAGGCCCGGCCCCCCCCCTCCACCACCCTCGGCCCGCTCCCACCCGGGCAGGCCCTTAGTAGCGAG